TGCGAGGATTGCCTAGCAAGCTGATGGTGAATTCACATCCGTGGTATGCATCAGTACCAATCTGCCATCGAAACGAATGAACGAATCATAAAGAGATTGGTTGTCCGCCGGCGGAATCAATCCAGCCCCCCAAGTGCTAAATAATACAGATTCTTTTTGAAATAATAATAGTTTATACTTTGCTGGCTTTGTGATTGCGATAGCGCGATCCACACCAATTGCGAGTAAGATTGCCATGGCAAAATTCATGCAGAAGTTGGACACGAATTGAATTCGTAGGCAAGTTCTCAGCGGGATGCCCGGGGACCCGGAAAACATCAGATACGCGAAGGGGATATGACTTAGCTGATGAATGATTTCACCGAAAGCATTCAGTGCTATCAGAATATTGCATGCGTTATGAAGGTTCCTGCAATTATAGTTCATGTAATTAGCTTAAATGTAGATTGGAAGTTACAAATCACAAAACCAGCTTAAATTTGAATCGGAAATTAGGACTGGAAAAGCTAGGTTAGTGGATGAAGCCGGAAACGAGGAGCAACATTTTGTCAGTTACCTTAAAATATGCGCTGGACACATGCAAACAAAGCAAATCTGTCATCAGCTTGCTAGTAAGCAATCCTCAACGAAGGAGCTATCGAAACCTTCGCCAGAAGGTGGTTTCTATTAACATCTGCTAACACTCTGACTAATTTCAAGTTTTAAAAGGTGCACGTCTCGTTGGGGAAAGCCCCGAACATAAATCAGTAGTGAATTAGAATCCATTTCTAGCGTTCAAGTGACTGTTACTCGAATAGAGGGAAAATAAAAACAAATATGATCTTGATACTTTGATCCAAAATCTTAATGTTTTTTTTTTTGATTTTTTCACAAGACACTAATTTTTTCATCTTAAATTTTGAGATTATGCTTTTCAAAGATTATCTGGCTGATAGAGCTTAAATAAAAAACCTGCTTCTGATGGTTGCAATAATCAATGAACTATTTCCAATGAAACCAACCAAAGCACACAGCAGAAATATACAGACACATGGTATAATTGGTAGCAGTACAGCCATCGCGTTATTAGGCCTGAAATTAATGCTTGATTCATTCAAGCGGAAAATAAGACTGCCCCCTCGAGCCCGGTTTTAGACCGGACCATCTACACTGCTTGCCTTGCTAGAAAGATCCGGGACCAAGGTGCGCTTCTCGGCACCATCGCATCGAGATGCCTGAGGGCCGATTTCGAAAAGAACCCGAAGACCGACGGGCCGTGCAAACCCAGTCTGCGTCAATAAGTGAATTCGAAAACAGAAAATTGCAAGCTCCGTAATATACCCATTGTTCCTAATAAACTGACCTATTCTTAGCGAGGTTGCCGGAGCACAACAACTTTCGGACATAC